GATGTGAGTCACTAACTCTAAGTGTGGGGTTCGTATCTAGAACTTAGTCAAATGCTTTAACTAACAACCCGCCTGAAATATGTGAGGCGAGGCAAGTTGGGCCTCATTTAAGATAAGACTCTTCTGACTTCCACTGTAGAAAGGCAGCATAATTGGAGGTGTTATTTATTTATGGGAATTACCTTACTGTACTGGCATATCTCACTACGGTCAACAGCCCCCAAATGCCATGGTACGGCCGAGAGTGGGGAGAGTCCGCCCTCCCTCTCGAAATGCTCTCACATGGCCACGCGTATATAGCCCTGCCAGGGAAGTCCTACTCACTGCCTTCTCGTGGCGGGGGTGTTGTTTACGAAAATGAGAGGACGAAAAGCGAATTTCCGGCGCTTTAACGGATCCAAAACCAATGGTGCACATGGGCTCCGGTATCCTGAGGGGACAAATGACGTATGAACCAATCGTTGGTCACCGGCTGCCATGGGACTGCATCCCCTTACGATGCTCCACTGCCTTGTGGGTCAGACGTTCATGTCGAAGCCTCGGGGTGTGGCTCCCTAAGAAAACCACCTGCTTTGGTCTGGGCACCCGGGCAGTATCACAGCCCTCACACATATCAATTGAGATTCGTGTGGCGCATATATATTTGGTGCCTCCTTGTACCAATAACTGTGTTAAAATAAATAAATAAATACTACAGTCAACAACATGACTGAAACTCTTGAACTTAACGAACTCAGTTTTATTAATCTTCAACTGATGTGCTTAACATGGATCTCAATGAATATCTATTCCAGTCAATACAGGCTGATTGTGCTGTCATGATAGGCAAGCCCGATTATTGCGTTAGGGTAATACATACGTTTGTGTTTCGTAATTATAAATACATCCCACAATAGGGTAATTTATCATGTTTAAAAAAATGCCATTAAGGCTTTTAGCCTAAACAGCACAACTTCATTATGTGGCGTAACTACACTGATACCGATACCTCTGGCGTATTAGTCGAATGCTCAACAATGTTTGGTAGAAAGAAACTAGAAAAATTCCACCTTATTCATGGCTCATTTTCAGAGACGTTTATTGAGTTTTACTGCTAGCTTTTTATTTTATGGAAAATGTGTGACTATAATTTATTTATTTTACTAGGCTTGGGACTACGCTATTGGCTTTCCTATCAAAACATGCAATACAACTGGATTTATTGCTTTAGGATCATCTTTAATTGTTTCTGCTATCTTAGCTTGCATCCGATTATAACACTGTCTTGTACGGTGTTCGGGTTCATCCTGTTATTTTCTCTGCTTCCTATTGATTGTATGTTGTCGAAACATAACTTATCGTTCGTAAATATTACTTTTAGTACTTATATTTGTATTTTTTTCCACAAATACATTAACAATTGCGTTACTTCATGACGAAAGATATCTTCATTCACTCTAGCATTTACACCACTTGGTTTCGGTTGTGCGATTATTGTGACGAATAGTGTGTGTGACGTGGTTCAGAATCGGTTGGAATGGCGCAGATACATTTACATTATCTTATACTTTTTACCCATCAAATTCTTCCCTTTTCAAGTGATATTCTTTATCTTTTCAAATGAATTGAGCGTTATGTAAAATGTTAGTCGTAAAATAATCATGTATTTGAGACATCCCAATCAATAGAAGTTAGAATTTCCGCTTTATCGCATTCTCGGAAAAACTTGTCTTCTACCTACATAAACCGGATTTCCTCGTTTGTTAATTTTAAATTCGGAACCGCGTTTCATTGGTTTAAAAGGTCTGATTTCAGTCATTCGGTTATGGATTATGACTTCATCCCATGTACTGAAAATCAGACAGTTAATTGGTAATTTGGATCCGATCGTTGCTGCTACCTTGGTATGATGGTCGGGCTTGCCTATCGTGGTGAACCAATCGAGCTATACTGGTTGGAAAAATTGTTCCTCAAGGTCCTACGATGCCAGACAGGTCGGTTAAATAGCGGTAAGACTAAAAGCAAAATATCCAACGTCCGAAGGCGAAGTCGTACTGCTAACTGTACAGAGGTGTGACAACAGCAAGGTGTTTCCTTCAGACAACCAACAAGTACGGAGCTAACACAAAAATTACCCACAAGAAGGTCGTGTGTGCTCGTTCTGAAATACATGCCTGGATTACGATTATGTTCTAATATGAGTACGCATTTTCTTGTTCTTCACTGGACACGGTAAAGCCATATTAAAAAGGCCCATTCGAATTAAACTCAGTGACGAGAAAGCCAAAAGTAAATTCCAGGAACAACTTGGGCAATTCTGAAAATGAGGCTGACCCGGATGTTGCTTAGAAAGATATACAAACAGCAGCGACATCTACTAGTGATTTGAAACAAAGGACCACAAATAACCAGTGGATTTCTGCTACATCTCTTGCACTGTTAGACTCTCGTAAACTTATCCCATCAGGCTCAGAACACGGTGATGAGCGAAAACAAATCAGATCTAGAATAGCCCAAAGTCTATGGAACGATCGTGAGTAGTGGTGGGTAACGAAAGCAAAACAGATGGAAATGGAAGTGGCTGTAGGTAACACCAGACAACTCTTCAGACTAATAAAAGAAACCGAAATTAAGGAGTCAAGTGTAAGGCAATATCCGAAAAAGACAACATTCTTATCTTCTCTCAGTCCAGACGTTCAGGACAATGGACGAAACGCTTTAAGGAGAAATCGGGCTTGCCTCCAACTATTTCACAGCTACCTACCATTTCCAAACATCCTGAACGGAACATTGAAACAGGCCCCCAACTCTAATTGAAGTTCAAAAAGCTGTAGCTAATCTAAAACGAGGAAGGGAAGCTGGTTCAGATGGATTGGCTCGAGGTTTTTAAGGACGGTAGTCTAGTTTTAGCGATTAGGTTGACCAATATTTTAGCTAAAATCTGGGAGTTGGACGTAATCCCATCTGACTGGTCGCAATCATTGATTGTTTCAACATATAAGAAGGAGTCAAAGTCATCCTGTAATAACCATAGAGGGATTAGTTTAACTAGTATAGCATCTAAAATACTAGTCTTGATAATTATCGGGCGCCTAACTGAGACTCGTGAACTGCAAACACGAGGAAATCAGGCTGACTTCAGACCTGGTCTTGGCTACATCGACCACATATTCACCATTCGCCAGATCTTAGAACACAGACATGCTTATCGGCGTCCGACAATGATAGTTTATCTTGACTTAAAAGCGGCATTTGACTGTGTAGACCGAGAGGTTCTGTGTCAGTGTCTGTCATTGAAAGGCGTTCCTCAGAAGTACATAAACCTTGTGAAAGATTTTTACTCGAACACTATTAGTCGGTTCAGTGCTTATGGAAAGTTGTCATCTGATTTTTCAACCTCAAGTGTTGTCCGTCACGGCTGTCCACTATCTCTAATTTCGATCGATTTCATCATAGACTTACTGCTGGAAATAGCGTTTTCGTTGACTGAATTTTCGGGGATTGACCTCCCGATAAAATGCAGAGCATTTTGGTAGTACCGAGTAACAATGCCAGGATGTTTAGGATGCGTTTCTCCCTTTCTAGATGTAAGTTGTTGTTTCATGGCTGGCGTGCGTCAACACCTGAACTAAGAATAGGGAGTGAAGTAGTCGTACGCGTCGACAACACTTATCTTAGAAATCTGAACAGTCCTAATGGGTCGGTGTCTGACGAAATCTCATCACGGATTCAGAAAGTTCGTTCGGTTTATGCCAATTTACGTCACCTATGGCGAAGGTGAGATATCCGTTTATCAATTAATGGACGAGTACACAGCACAGCAGTTCTTTCTTTTTTACTTTGTGGCTGCGAGACGTGGTCATTAGGGATAAAGGATACTCGTAAGTTACTAGTATTTGATTCCAGATGTTTGAGAAAGATTTCCAACAGTGTTGGGATCACCGGGTAATTAATAGTGAGTTTAGACTCAGAGTATTTGGGAATGATGGTAAATCAATTGATGAGTTTGTGAATCTTAATCGACTGAGCTGGTTTGGCCTCATATTACGCATGCCTAACCACCAACCATCACGTTGCGCAATGCTGACAAGTGTTGGAGACGGTTGGAAGAAGGTTAGGGGTGGCCAAACCAAAACGTGGCATCAGTTCTTGGAGTTACTAACTTCCACGTGACTCCTGTAACTAGTGGTTGGAGACTGTGGGTGACATGGCTCAGAATTGATCACAATTGGGTGAGTGTATACACTTTTTGTCTTCCCTTAAACCGTGATATTAAAATTGCCTTATATCTCTTTCTACGACCTAATTCTTTCTTCCTGTACTGTATGTTTATACGTAATCTTTCTTTTATTCATTACTACCATTGAAGTGACTACTTCTATGAATTCGGTGTTCATCTTGTTGTGCTAATGAGGTGTGGCAACTTGGAGCGATGCATATATGTGCTTGGTTCTACGTTGTAGATGACTGACTAACTGGTAATTTGGAAGAAGGATATTAACCAAGCATAGATTTTTGTACTGTTTAATCCATAAGCATACTTGTATTATAAGCCGTAGTAATATACTACTTAGTTGTCCAGATAGGAATCGGGCATCTGAATCCCACTCGTAATCAGTATGTCGATATAAAATAGTTACAACTCATAGTCTATATACATATCATTACCATAGTATTAAAGATTATAGTACTATAGTCTGATGTAGAAAATGAATTCCTGTCGTGTTATTTGTTTGGCATGTTAAGTAAAACTGTTCTAGCGAAAAAGATTAGGGGATTAAGCCACGTACGCCGCATTTTCTGGTGTTGATGAATTCTTATCCTTTCATGAATATATTTAAAACCATTATGTACTAATCTTTTCTAATCAAAATGTTCTTTTAAAAAATTGATTGAACTTTAGAATTTGTTTTAAAAAGTCAAGAATGCTTTATTGTGTGTTTTCTCACTATTTACAAACATGCAGGAACCAAAATACAACCATTTGTTGGATTATATAACTTAACTCTATAGATATCTTTTTAAAAATATAAAAAGTATGGGATAACAGTCAGCATGTTGAACAACAGTAGCAGTTTTATATACAGTTGAACAGTGAATGTAGCATTCGCAACAGCATTTTGAGTATCTAAACAAAATGTCCGGTAAAAAGATTCAGTATTTCAAGTAAACTTTGTTAAAAAATGTACATTAGTTATAAAAAAGATCACTAGTTAGTACTATTCGAGTGCTGAGTCAGTCGATATCACAAAGTCGTTTTATTACAATACTATGTATCATCACAAGTAAGCATATAAGGTTTCTCTAGAGATTAAAGTTGAAAAAAATCATATTTACAGAAAAATATGTGATAATACTATAGATATGAAAACTACTTGTCATAAGATAGGAGTTATTTCTCAGTGCATATAGTGTGGATGAAAATGATATATAGTGTTAGGTGGTCGACTTCCATTGGCAGAAAACCCTAGACCTATTTTTCATATTAATTGGAACTCATATGCGAAACTTCTCTGGGATTTCAAGTAGACTGGTTCTCGTTGTGGGGTACAAATCCACATTACATAGTACTTGCTTACGGATGCATGTTAACCCTCGTGTAGGACCATAGGTCACCCACCAGCATTCCTCATCCAACTCTGTCCTGGGTAATCCTTTCTAGTTTCTATTCATCCTTTTGATGTTTACTTCTAATTCCCGACGCAACGTATTCTTTGTCTTCCTCTTTTCCATTTTCCTTCGGGATCTAAAGTTAGCGCTTGCCGACTGATGCAGTTTAATGGTTCCTGCAATGTATGTCCTATCTACTTCCAGCGTTTTCTCTTTATTTCCTCTTCAGATGGAAACTGGTTTGTTCTCTTCCACAGGCTGTTTCTGGTTGTATCCAGCCAACGGACATTGAGTACCTTGCGTAGACAACTGTCTGTCAGCTGACCTCTATTGATGAATTTGCAGTGTAGTCCGTTGTACGAATTCCGTATGATGTTGACAATTTTCTCAGATACTCACTCCATAATGTCGGGGGTTCCATAGTGTCATCTTATCCACACTTTCGAACGCCTTCTCATAGTCAAGGAAGTTCGTGTATGGTGACGAGTTTCATTACATTGATTGCTCAACGACGATCCGTAGTATCGCGATTTGGTCTGTGCACGACTGATCCTTACGAAATCCAGCCTGTTGACCTCGAAGTTGGACGTCCGTTGAACGTTTCATTCGATTTAGTGACACTGTTGAAACATTTTACTGGTAAAGATAGTAGTGTAATACCTCTATATTTTTCATATTTGCCTAGATCTTTCTCAGGAATCTTGATGAGATATTCTTCTTTCCAGTCCGTCGGAACTTGTTCTTTCTCCCAAATCTTCCTGAATAAAATGCGGAGCTTCTTTGCAGTTACTTCTGTCTGACTTAAGTGGTTCGGTTGGTATATTGTCTGGACCTGCTGCTTTCTCACTCTTGACTTGTCCGATAGCCATCCTGATTTCTTCGGTCGTTGGTGGAGTGACGGCTATGGGAAGGTCTGTAGGTACTTCGATGTCCGTTGGGTTCAATGAGATCGGTCTATACAAGGGTCCCTAGAAGTATTTGACCTACCGGTTACTCTGTCCCTGAATCTCGGATTGGCTTACTTCTTTGTCCTTGACCGGTCTCTCTGATTTACTATAATTCCCTAGCTAGTTTCTTCGCTGTATCATATATCTGTTTCATATTTCCTTCTCTTACAGCCTTTTCCGCCGTCGTTGCCAGCCCTTCTATATATTTTTGCTTGTCAGCTCTAATGCTCGTTTTCACTTTCTTGTTTGCTTCTGTGTATTCAGTTTGTGCCTTGGCTTTCTCTGTTCTTGTTTGGCTGTTGTTAATTACTGTCTTATCGTTCTTCCTTTCCTAAATCTTATCTAGGGTTACGATGGCGATCCATTCATTATGTTGATGCTTCTTGCGGCCCAGAACCTCCTGACACGTTGAATTTGGTGCTTTTTTGATACCTTTCCAGTTTTCCTCCATAGAAGTTTCTTCTTCCATCAGTAGATCCTGAAAGGCTTGGAACCTGTTGTTGAGAGTTATCTTGAATTGGTTGAGTTTGTTAGTATCTCGAAGGAACGATGTATTGAACCTTTTGAATGCTGTTCCCCCAGTTGTCCAGTGTTTCTTTAGCTTCAGCTTCATCTTGGCCACCACCAGGTGGTGATCTGAAGCTATGTCAGCTCCTCTCTTGGTTCTCACATCTTCCATTGACCTTGTGAATTATTTACTGATGCAAATATGATCGACCTGGTTCTGTGTAGTGTGATCCGGTGAGACCCATGTTGCTTTGTGTATGCGTTTGTTGAAGAATATTGGGCCGCCTATAACTGATTTGGTGAATGCACATAAATTTGCGAATCATTCCCCATTTTCATTTCTTTCTCCCAGTCCATGTGGTCCTATAATATTTTAATACCCTGTGTTGGCCATTCCGACTTTTGCGTTTTAGTTTCTCATTAGGATGGTGAGGTCCTTTCTTGGGCACTTCGTTATGATCGATTGGATCCTTTTAGAAAACTGACCTTTATCTTCATCGTAGCTATCATTGGTGGGTGCATAACACTGAATAACATTCTTTGCGATTCCCTTTTTCTTTGTTTTGAAAGATGCTTTGATGATCCTTGATCCACGAGATTCCTATAAGTGCATCTCGTGCTTCTTTGTACAACAACAGTGCAACTCCTCGTGTGTGTGACATTTTCTTCTTTTTGATCAGAGCACAACAGCATCTCTTTCAAATTTAATTTTTTCTGTCCAGCTTGAATCCAATGAGCTTCAATGATTCCGAGCACCGTCAAAGTTGTATCTCCTCATTTTCGTTGCACTTTGACTGGTCCTCCCAGTATTCCACATTATCCTGACATTACAATCACTTATAAAGATTGTGTCTCTGGTAATTAGAAGGGGGGGCATCAACCTCGTGAATTGCAAAGAATCTCGGCCCTCACCATGAGGCGTCACAATTCTTCTGAATGATGATTCTTCAATTCGGAGGACAGAGTTTAAATGGTTTAATTTGTTTAATCTGATTGGCGTTTTTTAGCAGGGTTGTTTCCTATGGGATGGGTATGCTGACCCATACTCAACCATCCTCTTTTACTCGTGTTTGAGACCGGCAGTGACTTAGAAGAGCTACAGGCGGAGTTGCGTTCTTTAGTGCTACACTGAAATAGCTCCGATAGGACATTTGGACTGTGGATGATCTCTTATTGGACTAATAAATTTATAGTGATTGACCATTAGTAAGCAGTTGGTGCCATTTTTGTGCAATCCCATGTTAGTGGAATCATATCGTTCAATTTCACTTCGGTTACTAGTCTATGCACTAAATACCATTAAAACAATGCACAGAATGTTTAGTCAGATTAATAGGGACGTTACAATTCGACTAATGAAATTGAATTAACATGGGGGACTGCCCTTTCTTTTTCCATACTTAATGTTTACTACTATTGATACTTATTAATTCTACAAATCTGGGATTTGTCTTGATATCTTTATCTTGCTGTGCTAATGAGGTGTGGCAGCGTGAACCGATGCACATATGTACCTAGTTCTACGCTGCGTATGACTGGCTGGACAAAGCAAGATACCGATTTCCATTCAGTCAATGAATACTCAATCTGAAATAGTTAACCACACGTGGAACTAAAGACTTTCTGAATTCACTGTATGAAACTTCAGAGAAATATTTGATTGTAGATGTCAAACGATTTTAGTTTGGAATGAGTCGGTGCATTTACTTTATTTCTTAAATTTGATTGGTTAGGTGGGATAACGTTGAATGGGTTTTGAACTAAAAAAAACTTCCTGAAAATTCAAAACATTTTATAATACTGGAATAAAGTTAATTGATAAAAAAAAACAATAAAAGAACAATATCTTATTTTGAAGTGACACATAAATGTTTTTGATGATTTTAAGTTCTTTAAGCTAAATAGTTTAATTGAGAAGTTTCTACTGTCGCTCTTTATAGTATTTTCTTTAGTGACAGTGAAGGCTACGCAATTACACCATCCATCACACAGAATACAACAGCGTCAAAAAGAATATAATTGGAAATTTATAGACGGAGTAATGTTCATAAACTCACCTATTGGTCTTTGATAAAATTTATTTTCTGACAATCCTGTATGTTTTAGGTATTTATTGTAATTATCATCCGAGTTGGATATCCTGTCACGAGTAACCTGTTTATCTGGTAATCTTTCAATTTGTTTTTGATGCACTACAAAGAATATATGTAGAACTGTAAACTTGGAGATATATCAAAGAAAGGGATCAGTTTATTTATTGACTAAGAACTTGAATACATTTTATTATTGTGACCTTATGTCTAAGTAATTTAAGCATGATGAATTCAATTTTTCTAAGATTTTTTGGATGAGTAAATTTCAAGGAACGCTTCACAATAAAATATAGATAATTGTAGCTCCATCGCTTAATGAGTAAGGTGATCAACTGTCGTGGGTCCAAACCTCGTTCGATCTATTTCGGTTTCAGAAACTGATCATTTCCACTAGTCCTTACACAAACAGTGGGGGCTTAGATATAAGTACACAGATCCGCATTTGCTAAATGAGTAAATGTTATTACTATTACTATCTTTTATAACACTTACTCGTCATTGTTGAATACTAAACCTGGATCGTTGATGGTTATTTTACTACATGTAATTTTCTTCGATGGTAAACATCCTTGATATGGTTATTTGAAAAACAGATAATATTGAACATTCACTCCAACCCACTGTAAGAGTCTCAAATCTTGTGTATCTTACTCAAGACATAAGATTTCTAGCTAGTAAATTAATAAGATTAATTACCACTGTTTGAATCACGAATTAATGTGAGCTAAGCTACTGAAAGCGTGTAAGCCCTGAATAGCCGTCCTGCTCCAGTGTGTGACTCATTAGTGCTCACGCGAGAGTTGAACCCGGAACCTTTATCCTCACTCTCGAACGCTTAACCTGTAGAATGTTGAGCCGAATCCAACCGTGTCAATATCTAACTCCAATCCCTTCACGATATTGGGCTTCCAGGTTTTCAACAGTGATCTAAGGTCAATTCGTGATTTAAATTATGAAAATTCTACTATCTCCACAGATCTATATTAAGACTATTTTTGATGAGTGGTGTGTCCACCAACAATTTCAAGTTGAAATACGTTATGGTGTCATTGAATGTACAAAATAAAAGTTATCTGATAAAGTTATTAAGTTATTCTTAGCTGCTTCGGTGAGTTTTTTCGATCATTCTAACCTGTGACCAATTACAGGATCTGTTGATTATACTAGGGACTGAATCCAGGTTTCATTTATCTTCAGTATCCATGAGAACTATAGTGTGGGAAATAACATTAAAAGTAATGGAGATCTGTGCTTGAAAAGTATTGTTTTAAGGAAGAAATGCAATGGAAGAATAGATTTAGAGCGAAACTGAATAGGAATCGACCACTGTGACCACTTTTGTGCAACATCTCGAGCCGTTGATTACGAGTATTGGATGAACCCCAAGCAGGAAGTCTATGTCTTGCGACATGAGTAAAGTCTACATTTGTAACTTCATTGACTGGTACTATGTTCTGATTAACCTACTATTGAACATTTTAAATCTACAATATCAGCTAACATTACACGTCTGAGTAGGTTGTGATTATGCACATGTAACATGAATGTAAAATTTACGGAGAAAAATAATTTCCTTGTATTGAAAATTTATGAAATTAATGAATTATTTAAAATAACAAATGTAAATGTGTGATTTGTCTTGTTTATAAAAAATGTAAAAATAATACTATGAGATTACAGAGAAAGCAGTTCCCTGAGAACTTTGAAGAATGTTATAATCCTTGGACCTCATGCTTTTAGATTTGTCACGATAGCATTTTAATGTCAACCATACTACATGTTTTTCAATCGAATGGCATTTTTTTAGATTAATAGTTATGATTTTCGTGGTATGTCAAGTATTACGTGAGAATTCGCTAAGTGAATCAGTGGACTAGAATTATTTGAGTCGTGGGGATCTGCAATGTAAATATTTTACGACACACCCTAACATAAGGACTCATGTTTAGATGATGACAGCGTTAAAACTTACTTATTTGTGCTAAATCAGTACCAAAACGTTCAGTTTTAAACCCTGTAAATTAAAAAAATGGGTTCAAGGGTTGATATCTCAAGTTATACAACAAAGAAGTATACGAAATAAGATGAAAATGTGGTGTTTTTTTCGAAATTACATCTTATTTATAGATCTGTAAATGACCTAAAGTTCCTTTCGGATTCCAGAAGTGTTAAAATAATGATAAATCTATGAGACGCAAAAATGTTTAATAAAGGACTCAGTGGAATCCATAGTAGAAAGTCTTGTAATTCTCTGCTGGTGATGTTCAGTTAAGTATACTCAGGATTTCATTTGGAGTCTTGAGAATCCGCTATCCATGCATGCTCGTTGAAAATTGCTTATCAAACTCATCTAACGAAATATCAAATTAAGTAATCATGAAAAGGATTATCCTACCATATAGAAGGGACGTATCAAAAATTACAGCCAGATTATTAGTGCTATCAGCAGTAGGCATCACTTACAAGTCAAGAAAATCATTTCAGTGTTTTATGCAAAAAAAACGACAAAGAAGGCAAACTGAACATCATTCACAAAATAGACATTTATGACTGCGAAAAACGTTAAATAAGAAGACACTTCCATCTGGTCTTCGTCTATATGAACACCAATTAACAGTCAAACGCCGCGTAATATCTTTGCTTATATCAATACACATAAACAGTTACAGATACACGTCGGACTGGAAAACTGCTAAAATTTCGCAGGGAGATAACGCAAAGAAGACCAGTTAATTTCTTGAAGCCAAGCACTTAGATCAGTCATCACTCAATAAACAAATTAAAATAAGCTCAATTTACCAACCAATTAAAAAAACCATAAACAACTACAAGATCGAGAATTTGGTCAAGGGGAGTATAATTAAAATAACTATTTAGATTGTGACAGGATAAGTACAAACAACAACCAGTCAAATTCATAACCGACAGAACAATCTCCTAGTCACTTGGTGAGAAATTCCCATAGTTCACTTCTATCTGAAGTTTGATGTTGATGTCGTACAGAATAGTTGTAAAATTTTCGTGTTTAAACCACTTAATCTCTGAGAAGCCGACTTCAGTAAAAGAAGATTCCAGAACACCGATCAGAGTGGCTACTAACAACCACAAGATTAAAGTCAAGTGATTTCATGAATTCAGTAAGAACTAAGAATAATATGAATTAAGTTCGTTCACTTAAAAATAACATCTTAAACGAAAATTTTTCATGGTGATATAATTAAATTAAAGGAATTTCAAAAAAGATGTCATAAAATAAGGGTTAATTTAATTGGGAAAAGAAAGACGGACACAAAATAAGTTTCAACAATTTACTAAGAATAGCTTCGATGCATTGAATAATAAACAATATCTTGTTGCCTAGTAGCTAGTGTTGATCAAACTCTATCAATCGTATTTTACACAGATTGATGAAAGTTTAAATTTTTGAGGACGAATGAGCTCTCAGGAATGTGAGTACATCTTGTTGATTGATTTCATTCTTAGCTAAGATATGGTTCACGATTTCCCACTGATTACATTCATTCATGTGTATTATATATTTTTTAGAACTCACTTCATACATACAGTTTGTTGTTAATGTTTGCAACATGTATTGTCTTTATTGAAATAGGATTTCTTCTTCATAAAAGGACATCAACGCCATATAAACAGTTTAAATAATCAGAAATATCGAGTTGAGAAAAGTTTATGTTCCGTTCATAAATTATATTTAAACTAGAGAGAATGACAAAGAAATTTAAATAAATTTATAAAGAATGATATGAGTAACATACGTTGTAAAGTCGTCACTCCAAATGATTCACCCATAATTGTACTAACTGAACAAACATAATCACCAAAATCTCCTACTTTTAAATTAAAAATAGCCAATTTTGATGTGATTGCTGATAAACTATTATATGATTGTGGTCTATGCTCCTCTAGGTTTATAGAAAAATTAGGTATAAATATAATAATATTTAAAAATAATCAGTTGTTGGTAAATCTTAATATTATGTGTAATAACTAACTTTAATTAGACAATTATTACAAACTAAGAATTACTAGATAGTTACTTCATTCTAGCATAGGTTTACTCAGCATGTGAGATGCACAGTTCGATCGAGGATCAAAGCTGGGAACTTGAAGTCTTATAGCAAGCGCTTAATCATCATACCACTGAGATGTAAACGAATGGTTTATATTTTCATCTTCAGCCAATTTGAAATTAAAACTATTGGATACCAGTTGATTCGTGTGAAGTGTTGAGCACTCTGTATGAAGCCTGAAAGTTTTGAGTTTAATTCCGTGTAAAGTCGTGTATCCCGAATAATATGTACTTCCATATATAGTTTCCTAACTTAGGTTATTGAATAATAATATTTGAACTTCCGTGGAACACGCAAACTGTTTACTTATTGTCTTCCAGAATGAATTTCAAGAAGAATAAATCAAATAACTGAACCTACTTGCTTCAAGATTGGTCACATTGCTATTATGTTTCCTTAGAGTTTGTTAGTTATTGCTATAAAAACAGTCAAAAAAGGTTATTTGTATTTTAAACATAACGGATGACGTCAAATATTTAATCTTTCTACTCTGTGCTTCGATTTAGTAATTTCAAAGTACTGTATGATTAATATATTCGTTCATTGAAAATAATGTATTCATTGCTAAAGAGGATGATAGACCTTAGTCCCTTCTATATTCAAAGTTGTGTACCAAATACGTGAATAAATTAGGTAGTTTTTGATGGAGTTTTGTTCTCTGAGCTGGATGGTTTGGTCGTGTTGATAGAATATGCTAACGAGCACACTCGTGGAGAAAATGCCTTTTGGAGAAATTCTCCCATTTTCGAACACCGCGAAGCGTACTACGCTCATATGATTTTGAAATGGTGGAGAAGAACAAAACTCCATCAAAATCATCCACCTGAGCTACAAATCTTTTCCACCATCTCAAAATTAGATAGGTCCACTTCTAGTTTGTAATATATTTTATTACGTAATGCATAAAGTAATGTAAACTTATTATTATTATTATTATTATTATTATTATTATTATGCATAATCTTATTATTTAGGATTTATGCTGAAAATATTATCACTTAATAGTTATTGATATTTTAATCCAAGTTATCTTGTCTTGTTGAATTCTTTATTCATAACTGTACACTGGTTTTGTTCACAGGTCAAACGAGCCTTGAGTACTAAATTTTGCTTGTTAATTGCAATAACATTCGATCATATTTCGTTAAGGTTACCACTACAGTATAGATTGTTTAAATAGATCACAAGGTTATGAAGTGACCTTTGTATTTATTTGTTATTTTAGAAGTTAAACGGTAAGACTATAATTTATGGACGACCTTTGAACGGCGCCAAAGTGACCTTGAGAGTGTCTACCTACTTACTAGAGCTAAATAAGTGTTATAAAGCAGTTTGAAGAATAAGGTTTATGATTCACAGTTGATGGTTAGGATTAGGAATTCCATTTAAGGTTTTCATCACGAACTGACATCAGCTAAAATTCCAAGACGCTATTTGCCCAATTGAGTGGGTCGATTTCGCGCTAAAATGCAAGATCTTTTATCCTAAATCTGATTTGTTAAACTAATTACGGAACTTAAGGTACTGCATACTTAGAAATGAATATTTAAGGTGAGAGCCCGTTTGCTGTAGATATAGTACTTAAACTAATGATATAAACTAGACCCAATCAGTTAAGAAATGATAAGTTTCGAATGTGACAGTTGTATTATTAATTATTAAAATAAAAGCAATCAAATCAAAAGAAGGGAAGATATTTGCGTGAAAGTAATAATAAACTGACTACGTGTATAACTTATCTTAAGTTGAATGTGTCGTATTTTGTTAAGAATACAATCAAAATAATTTCTAATTAGATTATCTTACGTAAGCAATATTTCTTCTCTGAATTTGTCATAACATCACAACTTGTAGCTGTTATAGGATAATGATGATTAAAAAGCCATCGTATGGATCCAGGTGGATGTGCACTGACTTGACATGTTAACACTGTATTCATACCAATGCCTTGCTTGATAATACGATTAGTCATTTTGACTTCTGGTGAAACTGAGGAGCAAACAAAAGGTTCAATTAAATGCTTATAAAGACAAATTAGAGTAGCAATTATTGCTTATGAGTGTTTCATACTTATTCTTATATGTGATCATGGATGAGTAAAATTGTGAATTTTCAAACTCGGATGAATGCAATATTTTGAGGTCATTTAGTAAGTGTTGTGATTCGCCGTTACAGGACTGCAACTGATCACTGCCTTTTGCGATATGTGCATTAAGAGCGAACAGTCTCGAAATAGTCTTTAGTCACAAGTTTTCAATATATTTAGTGTGTGGCTAACAATGGAATCCATTACAGAGGTTTCTTCCTGTTTCGTTCTCGCCGACCAGATGTACCTCTAACACAGAGCTGAAACACTGACTATCTGAACTCAGTAGCTCAGTGGATGATGTATTGGTGTTTGAATAGAAGGGCCCTGTCTCAGTATGACAATCAACACTGGGATGGATGACAGCTCCAAATAAAACGAATGGTGAGTTCTGCATTCTAGTACTAACCAAATTCCAGATATAATGAAAATATTAAGTGGCCCATTTTTTATGGTAAATACTTCAGCTGATTTAACTTAATTATGAAAAAAGCTTTTAAATTTGATGTTTGTTTGATAGGTTCCCTATAACATAATTTGCTTTTGAATAATAAAATTAAATAAAGTTTCCCTTTGAGTGGTATTATTTTCAAGTTGTACAATTCTACGTAAAAATGATGTTTGATTGACAAAAGAAATTCATTGTTTGAAGTTCAAAAAACTGTAGCTAATCTGAAACGAGGAAGAGCAGATGGATTGGCTCGAGGTCTTTAAGGACGGTGGTCTAGTTTTAGCGATTAGGTTGACCAATATTTTAGCTAAAATCTGGGAGTTGGACGTAATCCCATCTGACTGGTCGCAATCATTGATTGTTTCAACATATAAGAAGGAGTCAAAGTCATCCTGTAATAACCATAGAGGGATTAGTTTAACTAGTATAGCATCTAAAATACTAGTCTTGATAATTATCGGGCGCCTAACTGAGACTCGTGAACTGCAAACACGAGGAAATCAGACTGACTTCAGACCTGGTCTTGGCTACATCGACCACATATTCACCATTCGCCAGATCTTAGAACACAGACATGCTTATCGGCGTCCGACAATGATAGTTTATCTTGACTTAAAAGCGGCATTTGACTGTGTAGACCGAGAGGTTCTGTGTCAGTGTCTGTCATTGAAAGGCGTTCCTCAGAAGTACATAAACCTTGTGAAAGATTTTTGCTCGAACACTATTAGTCGGTTCAGTGCTTATGGAAAGTTGTCATCTGATTTTTCAACCTCAAGTGTTGTCCGTCACGGCTGTCCACTATCTCTAATTTCGATCGATTTCATCATAGACTTACTGCTGGAAATAGCGTTTTCGTTGACTGAATTTTCGGGGATTGACCTCCCGATAAAATGCAGAGCATTTTGGTAGTACCGAGTAACAATGCCAGGATGTTTAGGATGCGTTTCTCCCTTTCTAGATGTAAGTTGTTGTTTCATGGCTGGCCTGAGTCATCGGTGATCTGAAATCGGGAACCAGATCAGAATTGGGAATAAATCGAGTATTGTTCCAGTTGACTTTTCTTCTGTCACTCGCGTGCTTGTCAGCCAATCAGGTGATGGGATAATCTTTTCTCTCTACCCCACTTTGAACTCACGCGTATTAGCCTCAAGGTTAAGCTGGTCATCCTATTGCATCAAGGTCTTAATCTAGATTAGACAATTTATCCTCAGCACCAAAAACGGGTAGAAAGATCAAGGACGTAAAATTTTTAAATGTTGTTTTTAGTAAGTGTTGTACCGAAACAGTATGATTTACAGCATCAATGTGATCCTAACTTAACATGGCCTCCAATTATGTGTTATTCACTTAAGTAAATAATAATCTTATAATTCTTTTTTTGTATTGGTTGTTTGGGTTTTTTCATTGATGCATAGGACTGCACTTAATCAATCTCATATTAGCATAATGCTTGTGACTTCAGACAATATCGAGGGAATCCGCACAGGGCTGATCAATCGCAGTTTTAAACATCAATAAAAAGACTCAAACAATCAATACAAAAATGAGTTAAAGCTTCACCCTATTGCACAAGCAAGTGGCTATCTGGACTCAATAGATAAGTGGATAATGTGGTAATGTTTGATGCGAACGGTACTGGCCTCGAGCTCCTGAGTGAACATCAATTCTGGGATGCAGGCACATCCGGCTGACCAGTCCCGAATAGGAAGAAACGAGTGTCCTGGACTCTACTGCTAGTTGCCATCCATCTCTGTTCATAATAGTCCTATAACTGTAATCAGTAAATAAATTCTTCACTTCATCTTTATGCAGGTTTAAATACATGTAAACACTTGCTTCTTAAGTATGGAAAGAATCATACTCTAAACAGTACTGTCATTTATCACGATACAGAACAAATTTCCTTTCTAACTGCCTAAATACTTCACTCATGAGTAAACTTTCAAGAGCCAAACTCAAATTTAATGAAGCAGCGGCTTTTACTGAAATAACTTACTTAAATTTTCTCCGATGAATAACGATAATTCCGTTTAAAAAGGTGTGTTAATCGTTCGCTAAAGTACCGATTATTCAGTGTATTATGAATGCTTTTTTACTGATTATCCTAAAATTGATTATGTTCTGATTACTATAACTTACATCGTACTGATAGGAATACTTCTCTTTGGTCATCCGGTTGAACACCATTAGCTGCTATACACAGAAAACGTTGATTCATTTTCCTGTGTAATTTACCAATAATTAGAGTGCCGTTATGATGATTAATAGCTGTGTATATGTAAGAAATAAAGTAAGATAGAATCATAATGGGCGGAAACTCGGTATTATTTTCTATTACCAAAAGCAAAAATTATAGAGAAATGTCTTACTTAATAAAAATTGTGAAATATTAATCATTTAAGTAACTACTTAATATGCTCCTTGTGGACGTTTGAATATGAAGCTGTTAGAAAAATCATAAATCTGATACAAAACAACAGTTAACTCTTTTTTGGACATTGTTTTTTAAAAACCTGGTACTTCATGTCCCATTATGATAAAATATCATCCTCGGAAAATTTATTAGTCAACAGCTCAATTTTCGCAGTCATTGACTGGTTCATAATTTATTTCAGAAATGAAGTAGATTAGCATGATAATATATCCATCCGAAGATGATGAGGATTAACTATTTGTCGGTAATTTAGATATCTTATTGTAGGTCATAGATAGAAGATATCAGTAAACCGATAAAACAATAGTGATACATCTCTTTAAAACAATAATTTCAAAAGTTTTCATGAAACTTCTGTGATAGCACTGGTTTGATCATACGCATTTAATTAGTTTATTAATGATAAATGTTTAAATTAGACTGCAAACATATCAAGGAGCATCGGGGAATGAGGAGTTAATATTTGTTGATTCAGTCATGTGGTTGGTAGTAAATTAATTAGTTTAGTGATAACTCTTATCAGAGACCAACATCCGATTTAAAGCTATTAAAAAAGAAAGTAATTGGAAACGATTTCTAAACTCTGACTAATCAGCGATGCACATCTAGGGTTCACACAGGACTGGATTTTTAGCAAGCATGATACCATGCAGTCATCGAAAAGATTGACTAAGTCACTAAATTGTATTTGAACGATCTGACTTAAGCTGAATTAAATATAATCCATGCAGCGGTGAACAGTTGATCAGAGATAAAAGTAAATATTGTTGTGTACAGTCATTGAGTTCTCAGTGACTCGGAGTTTATATTTTCAAACATAAGACAAAATCAGAGGTTTACTTATCTACTTTGTAATAGCTTATGTAAATAACTGTGACAGAATTTCGACGAAGTTTGTTTCAACAATAAACAGTCATTTCTCATTATTTTCTGTTTTAGGAGAATTACTGAATAGGAGTATACATGATTTCAGTGATATTTATCGAATATGATTTGAGAACAATAACATAATTTTGGATTGAACGTGATGGACATAAATATTGATAGTTTAACATTTGTCTGCCATAATTATGGTATTTTATTTGAAACAGGGAAGAAAATTTATTTAATAAGTATATTTTTTAGTGTTGACTCCTAAGGTTTCCTGAAAATATTTCAAACGATTTATCACCTGATTACATAAATACACTAAAATATGTGAAGATAATGAACTCAACACATTTTAACACATTTTAACACTGATAATCTTATCAAAGTTGTACAGACTATGGATACTATTACTACGAATACTATCCTATGGGTACAATACCCAAATGGGAAAATGAGAAGAATCGCATTAATAAACGAGGAATAACTCTTAGAACAAATTGAAAGATCAAAAACGTAGTAGGCATTCCTTACTGATGAGAGTAACTATATTATCTAGTACTTCAATCATTTATTCGTATGGTAGGTCATATTCAACCGACTCAAACTTTAGACAATTAATTAAACAACTCTCTATTTAATATTTGTATATATTAGACTCAATAAAACATGCCAGATTATTGCAATAACAAATATTTACTCTGTTAATATCAACGCTTCCTATCGCTCTTCCCAAAATCAATACTAAGATGTATTTGTATAAAGTGATAGCAGATGGAGAACCATTGAATCACTAAAAACTGGATAGCATATCTCACAAATGAATTTCATTCAGTAATAAAAATTAACTTTTGATTTTGATTAAAATTAAATGAAACATTAGAAATAGTTTAATTTTTCACTTGTATTTCTGTTATGCATTGTCAGTTTGAACTATTTAAACTGTCTGATAAAGAGGCCTGCAATACAATAGAATTATTTCATCTGTGCAAATCGTTTATGCTTATCCAGTTTACATTAAATATTAGTTTAAATAAATACATTAACTTGATAACTTACGCACTCCTAATCCAGAAAATGCATCATAAATTGGTAATAATTTTTTATCAGTTTTATCATCGTTTAATAGTGGATTGGAAAAAACTTTCCATGTTACTTGAGGTGGTGGATTTCCTGTCGCTAGACAATTTAGCTCAAGTGATGAACCTTCATCAACTTTTAAGTATGGAACAGGAGATTTAATAATGATTGGAGGGACTGTAAATAAATGTAATTCAACAAAATATTATTAGAAAAAAAATGCACAGTAACTTATAAATATGGTTTTAAGTTTGAATCAAACCTTAGTAAAGTGATAAATAACTGCATCCACGATCCCGCCCCCCGCTGGATTCGAACTCAGGACCAATCGGTCCCGCGCGCGAGCGCTTAGACGTTAGACCACTGAGCCTGCATTCAACGGTGGTCTAATAGTTAAGCGCTCGCACGTGAGACCGATAGGTCCTGAGTTCGAATCTCTCGAGGTACGGGATCGTGGATGCTCACTGCTGAGGAGTCCCATACTGGGACGAAACGGCCGTTTAGTGCTTCGAGGTTTTCCATGGTGGTCTAGCTTCAATTGACTCATGATTCCAACTTTTGAAATTTCCAACTTCTCCACAAAACCCTTCTGATATTAAATAACTACATCAGAAGTCAAATTGTATTGGATTATAAATTACAATGAGTTTGGAAAAACATTCATTGAGTAATAATGAAGCTTTTTCAAGGCAATACAATATTTATTAAAATTAACAGTCATGAGTTCGAACATATAAAGTGGTTAGAGTGATACTATTGTTTTTAATACACTGTTAAAAGTAACATCGGTAAATAAATGCACAAATAAATAATGTTTACTATTTTGATGTACGTTTTAAGTTTTTAAGTATAGTCATAGTTTTGTTTTTTCAAAATAAGTATTCTAGTTAAAGAGGAAGAATGTATTTATCAAATCGCAGCAAAAGAATCTGAAGCAAATCCAACGTTCCGCCTGGCAATCTGGTTCAATGGCACAAAAATCCTTCAAAAAGGCTTCATTTCTTACGGTGAAAGACTAACAGCCGAAGGCCTACATATATGGGCTAATCCAAACAGTATTAATAGGGTAGAGACAGATATCTTCTTCAGACAATGGAAGATGGTCGCGCAATTTCGTGGATTGGTTGAGGTTAGACATTGACACCGTTGGATGCCGACTCAGTGGACAAGTAGATTAAGTGTTCGCGCGCGAGACCGAAGGCCTTGGGTTCGAATCTCGTCAGCGGGATCGTGGATGCGCACTGCTAAGGAGTTCCACAATAGGACGAAACAGCTGTCCAGCGCTTCCAGGTTTTCAATGGTGGTCTAACATCAATCGGTCCATGATCTCAATCAAAAACTTAATAATTTCCGTTATACTGATACCATGATTTTTATGTTTACTGACATTTTAAATGAAAATAAGATCGTGTATAGTTAGTTGGTTGCTGAAATTTATTTGTCACGGATTGATTTAAACTAATAAGCTGTTAGAGACCAGGGACTGTCGGATAGAATTCTCACTCCTTATTATATATTAGTTCTTCAATTGATGTTAACCTGTAATAAAATCTTTCTCAATAATCAAAATATTTTGCAACATTTGAAGTAGTACATTAACGACCAATAGTACTTTTTAGCACACTATTATTTATCCATAACGCTTCACAGAAAATCTATTATTATTAGAGATCCAAATTGATGCATTTAGTATTATTATAATTTACCATATTCTGCATATAAGAATCTAGACGTTAAGGTTAGCGATATTCATCTTGATTATTGCCTAACTATATGACATCTGACGAGTAACTCATTCTGTTGTGTTTAAATATTTTGAATGGCAATAATAGCTTTGGTCCAGTGATATTAGATAAGGCCGTGAGTGGTTTAGTTTTTTGGAAAATATTCAGTTGAAATTCAGGTCTTGGTTTGTGGGCAATTTATCCACTACGCCAGTTCAGTTACCCAAGTACTTTAGTAAATCAGTTATGTGGTCATGGGGCTTTGTGAGTAATAATCTTTTATACAGTATTTTGTTACACCTTAATGATCATAATACGTAGAAGATATTTAAAAGAGAATGAAATAATTTTCTGAAGTATTAAAACTCAGTTAATATAAACTGTACGATTCACGTTATTGAAAATAACCGATAAAGAACCTTCAAAAGATTTCAGCTTTCAAGTAAGTATACAAAGTACTTGGATCACGCTGATTAATGATAATTTAGTTTTGAGAGCTACGACCTACTTGGAGTTTCCGCAGGTTGATTATTTATCACTCAAGTTCTTGCCATTCATGAGTTGAAGTCAGAGCCTTGTGTACAAAAGAATTATGTAGTAGTATTTTCACGATGGAATTCATGAGTCAATCTAAGCTAGACCACCAATGAGAACATGAAAGCTCTGGACGGCCTTTTCGTTTCAGTAAGTGACTCCTCAGCAGTGCGCATCCACGACTTTGCATGCAGGATCTGAAACCATGACCTTCAGTCTCACACGCGAATGCTTAACTTCTAGAACACTCAGCCGGCATCTAATAATTTTAATGTCTAACTTCAATTGATACATGAAACTGCTCAACCCTTCATTTATTGTCTGAGGTGGACAACTGTCCTGAGTTACAATCCTGCATGTGGGATCGTGGATATGCATTGCTGGGGAGTCACTTACTAGAGCGATATGGCCGTCCAGTTCTTTCAGGTTTTTAATGGTGGTCTAGTTTAGATCGACTCGTGAATTCAATCGATTGAATCCAAACTATCAACTACAGACTGACCGGCATTACACGTCACCACATGATATAAGTGTTGAATGTATTTAGATTTTATTTAGTTAATCAATTATAATATGTGAATGTTATATGAAGAGGAAGTACACAAGGGTTTACAATTTATGACACTACTTGTCTAACAAAATCTCGTCTTAATTCAGTTCAAATCAAGTAGAATAAAAATATTAACATAAGAAGGATTATTGTTTATTCTGCTCAACCAAGTAGCCGAAATATGTAGGAACTATTTTCAATAATTTTATTACATACTAATATTATGTAAAATCATGTTTTTAAACTTACCTGAAATGTTTAGGGATACGGTATGAATATGAATTCTATCTTTTAAAGTAAGTGTACATCTATATTCTCCTTCATCGTCTGGTAGTGTTGGTCGTAAGAATAAACTTAAAGCTTTGGTTTTTAAAAGATCCTAAAAAGATTTAAAGAAAAAAATTTTCAAGAAAACATTCAAATAAATCAATTTTTCTGTATTGCATATTATATGTAGGTGTTTGTTTTACTGCAAATTTATTTGAGTTATTACAAACTGTATATATGATCAAACAACATGATTCCTTAAAACTGTAAGTATTACGTTCACTTGATATTGTTTTACTTGAATCTTCCCATTGATGTTTAGCACTGCAATTGATCAGCCTCTTATTGGCATGTGTGCATACTGTGCTTATTACCTCGATATTGCCTTAATTTACAAGCATTATAAGCAAAGATGGATAGTGGCTAGCATTGGAATCCAGGACGCGCGTTAAGTCCTGTTCGGGACTTGTCAACAGACCTAAACATCAATGGGAAGATTCAAGTAAAACAATACCAAGTGAATTTCAACTTCACCCCATTGCACAAGCAAGTGCCTAACAGGACTCAGTAGCTAAATGGATAACGCGATAGCGTTTGAAGCGAACAGTACTGGGTTCGAGTCGCAGAGTGAACATCAACTTCGGGATGCAGGTACATCCGGTTGACCAGTCTCAGATAGAAGAAAACGCCCGTCCTGGATTCCACTGCTAGCCGTTGTCTATCTTCGCTTATAAGTATTACATTTTTAAACCATTAGTTTCAGTATTGATCTAGAATTAACTGACTTTTAAGCACAGTAAGAACATTAAGGTTCGGAGAATAAAATAAATTCATTCTGTTTCAGTTTCTTATCAGTTTTAAGGAGCCTAAAATTAAAAGGAGTAGAATAATTATAAACAAAGGTTAAGCATATTTTAATTAGTAAATTTTAGGCATATTCAAAACGGAATCGAATATCGTAAGAAGAAGAACAGGACACAAATTATTTGATTAATGCATATTTGTTTATTTAAAGAGCAACCATATAGAATAGAGGAAGTGATGTTATAGTTACTGATAATCTAATATAAAGAAAAAGGTTTAAGTAAGAAATCTTCTGAAATCTCAACTCTCTTGAATGAAAAACGGATGAGAGTAGGATTTTTCAGAACAATCAGTTGTTTACGGTCTTCAGGATTCTCCGTTCCATATTTTAAAATCAATTTCTTTACGTACCAATTCATAAAGAGTTTTTTCAATAACTAGCAGATCCTCATGTATTTAATTGCTCTAGTATACTATTCTAGCTCTATCAAAAAAGGGTTTTGACTAGCCACTTGTAACTGAAAGGGACATGAGCTGTTATAACTACAATGTTATTCTGTAAGTTTTTTCCCCATATTTATTCGTCATATACTCAGATGTAGTGTTCAGGGTGGCAAGCTTCATTCTGGTTTACTTCGGATTCAATAACTAAAGTATGTTATACATTTGTTTACAATTATATTACTCCTTGTAATTTTAGGTTACTTTTAGACGATCAAAAGCAATGAAATAGACTGAATTCATTTTATTTCCCAAACCTTCATGTTCTTGCTTTGCATAAATTTTTCATATGATCTTACTTACTTACTTACGCCTGTTACTCCTAACGGAGCATAGGCCGCCGACCAGCATTCTCCAACCCACTCTGTCCTGGGCCTTCTTTTCTAGTTCCATCCAGTTCTTGTTCATTTTTCTCATGTCTAGCTCCATTTCCCGGAGTAATGTGTTCTTTGGTCTTCCTGTCCTCCTTCGGCCTTGAGGATTCCATGTGAGGGCTTGTCTTGTGACGCAGTTCGGTGCTTTCCTCAATGTGTGTCCTATCCACTTCCAGCGCTTCTTCCTGATTTCTTCCTCCACTGGGATCTGATTTGTTCTTTCCCACAGTAGGTTGTTGCTAATAGTATCCGAACAACGGATCCGAAGTATTTTGCGTAGACAACTCTTAATAAACACCTGTATCTTCTGGATGATGGCTTTCGTGATTTTCCAGGTTTCCGCCCCATACAGTAGAACTGTCTTGACATTTGTATTGAAAATTCTGACTTTGGTGTTGGTTGCCAATTGTTTTGAGTTCCAGATGTTCTTCAGTTGTAAATATGTTGCTCTTGCTTTGCCAATCCGTGCCTTCACATCTGCATCAGATCCACCGTGTTCATCGATGATGCTGCTCAAATATGTGAAGGTTTGTACATCTTCTAAATCTTCTCCGTCAATTGTGATTGGATTGTTGCATGCTGTGTTGTATCGGAGAATCTTGCTTTTCCCTTTGTGTATGTTGAGTCCTAATGCTACTGCTATATTGGTTGTCTTCTCCTGAATTTGTTGTTGCATGTGCGATAGAAGAGTCACATCATCTGCGAAGTCTAGATCATCCAATTATATCCTAGCTATCCACTGTATCCCGTGCTTCCCTTCAGATGTTGATGTCTTCATGATCCAGTCGATCACCAGGAGAAAGAGAAAGGGTGAGAGTAAGCAACCTTGTCTGACACCGGTCTTTACTTCAAACGACTTTGTCAACTGTCCTCCATACACTATTTTGCAGTTTAATCCATCATAGGAATTCTGTATGATATTGACTATCTTCTGAGGCACGCCGTAGTGTCGAAGAAGCTTCCATAGGGTTGTTCTGTCCACGCTATCAAATGCTTTTTCGTAGTCGATGAAGTTGATATAGAGTGATGAATTCCATTCAATTGATTGTTCCACAATGATCCGTAGAGTTGCGATTTGGTCTGTGCACGATCTATCCTTACGGAATCCTGCCTGTTGGTCTCGAAGTTGGGCGTCTACGGAGTCCTTCATCCTGTTTAACAATACCCTGTTGAAGACTTTTCCCGGTATTGAAAGAAGAGTGATTCCCCTGTAGTTGTCACAGTTGCTGAGATCGCCTTTCTTTGGTATTTTGACTAGAAGTCCTTCTTTCCAGTCTTTTGGTACCTGTTCCTCATCCCAGATCTTTTTGAAGAGAGTTTGGAGTATCCCTGCAGTTTTCGCTACGTCTGCTTTCAGTGCCTCTGCTGGAATGCTGTCTAGTCCTGCTGCTTTGCCACTCTTGATTTGTCTGATAGCCATGCTGATTTCTTCAATTGTCGGTGCGCCAACATCGATTGGTTGGTCCGTGAGTGCTGCTTCGATGTTGGGTTGGTTCAGTGGAGCTGGTCGATTCAAGAGTTCTTTGAAGTGTTCTACTTACCTGTATCGCTGTTCTTTGATGTTGGTGATTACCTTGCCTTCCTTGCTTTTCACTGGTCGTTCTGGTTTACGGTGATTTCCAGAGAGTTTCTTTGTTGTGTCATACAGTTGTTTCATGTTTCCCTCTCTTGCAGCCTTTTCCGTCGTCATTGCTAAATCTTCCACATATTTACGTTTGTTGGTTCTGATGCTCCTCTTCACCTGCTTGTTTGCTTCTGTGTATTCAGCTTGTACCTTGGATTTATCTGCTCTTGTTTGGCTGGGCTCCAGGCGAAGTTGTCATATGATCTGGTTATATAAAAATTTCTGAAGAAGTTGACGTTTGTTAATCAAGATAAACAATGTTAAGCTAACAAAATGTAAATGTGCAGTTATACTAATTGTGGTAGTTTAAAACGAAACAATCTCTGTTATCTCTAGTCTATGATCTCCCACATTTATGTTTCTAAGTATTACAGTAACATTGAAGTAGAATCGCCTTCACCCGATTGAATAACGGTCAATAAGCTGCAGTGATTATATCACACATCGATTCGTTCCTCTCTCCTCGTTGTATCCGAAAGTTAAAAGAAACCAGCATTAATCTTGTCTTTAAAGTCAAACTACATAATCTTGAAATTTCTATAGGTTTGTTGTAGTTTATAGCAACAATGACACCACTTGTTAAAATATTTCTACATGGCTAATAAAGTGAATTATACTGCACGATCAATTTGGCTATGTTTTGATATTACCATTTCTGCGGCTACTATCACTAGTTTAGAAATTAATTTAACAAAGAAAATTATTTGAAAAATTCACATAAGGAATATTGAAAATTTGCCTATGTTTATGAGTGCAGTACGATGATGTATATCGGTTACTCTGATTTCTGAATATAACTATTACTAGTGCAATAGTATTATAAAAAATTACATTGTAATTTGTTTGAACACTCACCATAGGTGCTAGGAATACTCTAGGATTTTCAGTAACCCTATAAACACCCTTTGTAAGAAGTTGTCGTGGTGCTCGAATCCATGTTAATGTTTCCAGTTCCTGTAAGGCAAATCAGTGAACGATATTAATCAACTCAGGATGGAAATGAATTCTCCAAAAAGAGAACTCTTCACTGAACCAATTTTTTAATGTTATAATTCAGGATGTATCTGTAACCAACGTTCAGAAGCCAAATTAATTGAACTTTGTAAAACTAGCTTTCAGATTCAAACTATTTCAAACAAAATTTATTAATACCAACAAAGAAATCTAGTTTGTATGGATTTATTATTGGCTTAATTGTTGAAAACACGGAATGGTTTATTCTAGTGGAATGGATTAACATTAACGGGTCCATCTTTTTTTGACATGAAGTGTTAAAAATGAACCTAATAGTATGACTGGCTTGTCTCACTGAAGTTACGAGACTCAGAATGCCTTAAAAATGTCAATAAAATAAAATATTTCTCTCGAAGATTGAGGCTCGCATACCACCGCATTACATGATATATTATATTTTTACTAACGGTTTTAGTTAATCCAAATAAATTTTCGGTTCCTTTGAATACAATGGTGTTAGTTTTTATAAGCGTACGGTTTTCTTTTTTAGTAGTAGATAACAAATGAATCATACATTCCCAACGATATATATCAGGAGGGATATATTCCAAGTAGAGAGCTATTGTATTACTGATATTTATATTAAATTTATGTATAAACTAATTCCCATCGGACTTATTAGGAGAAACAATATATTTTCCCTAGTTATTTGTTCTAACTCTGTCTGTAGCTCTTCTAAGTTACTGCCGTTCTCAAACACGAGTAAAAGAGGATGGTTGAGTATGGGTCAGCATACCCATCCCATAGGAAACAACCCTGCTAAAAAACGCCAATCAGATTAAACAAATTAAACCATTTAAACTCTGTCCTCCGAATTGAAGAATCATCATTCAGAAGAATTGTGACGCCTCATGGTGAGGGCCGAGATTCTTTGCAATTCACGAGGTTGATGCCCCCCCTTCTAATTACCAGAGACACAATCTTTATAAGTGATTGTAATGTCAGGATAATGTGGAATACTGGGAGGACCAGTCAAAGTGCAACGAAAATGAGGAGATACAACTTTGACGGTGCTCGGAATCATTGAAGCCCATTGGATCCGAGCTGAACAAAAAAGATTAGGTTCGAGAGAGATTTTCTTGTGCTCTTCGACATTATGGAGTGGGTAGCTAAGAAAATTGTCAACATCACACGGAATTTGTGCGTTTCAGCATACCTCATCTATATATCGTAGGTATTTATCTTGCACAAAGAGCAATAACGTAAAATGTTTTTCTGAGTATGTCTTCGGTTTTAATTTGATTGCATTTTAGATGTTGGTGATAGAGTATTTCAGAAGTGTTTTAATGCAATGTATAGATTAAACCAGTTAATAAATTTTAAAGTCTGTTCATCCATTAACAAAAGTTTAACTATCAAGTTGAATTATAAAATAACCTTTTCAATAATAAAATGCTATTGATTTTAATGGTTATTGATTTCGGAACGCGAAAATCGATCTGTCATTAAGTGATGACAAAAAATAATGATAAACTATGAATTATATATAAAAACCTGTGCATGATTAACTAATGTTATTTAGTTTGTTTAATATATATTGAAATTGTGAAGATTGTTTATTTTTGTAGAGATCATGAACCTTTCAACTTTAGACGATTTATGTAAACCTAGAAGCAATAGAAGACCTTTTTTTCCGAATATGGGACTACTATACAGTATGTACTCACGATCTGGCATGCGGCACTTGAACTCAGGACCTTCAGTTTTTCGCGCGACTATTGAGCCATCCTTCAACAGTGTTAATGTATAACTCCAATCAATCCGCGGTATCGCACGACTATTTTAGTAGCTGGTCGTACACTTGGAGTGGTATGACAAATTACATAATGCCACAAGTTCACACGTAAAGGTCATTACAAGTGTCAGGATCTATAATGAGTAAACGACTTATTTATATAACATGGATCAGCGCCCATATATGCTTGCCAATCTGCGAGTGAGTATATATTTGTGATGTTTAAATGTCGTTATTCGGCTTCCAACGATAGAGCTTATTATCCAGTTTCGATCTTTTTCTTCTAAATAGCTTGTTAGTTAGGCGTATGAAATTATGTTATTTACGGAATCGAACAGAACTGAATAATCCAGGTCAAAATCCTGGAAAAATTTTCCACATGGAATTTCTAATGATTTGTGATAGTGAGATTTCGACTTCTGAATAAATAGGAAATTTTTTAAGAGGACAATAATATTTGAACTACAAGTGAGATTATAGGAACTTTAAATGTTAAGCCATTTTTGTAACTGAATTCACGAATTAAAACCACTTAACTGCTGTTAATTTACATTAAAACCGTCCCTCGCAAACCCTTACTAATTTAAATATCTAACATGAATATTACATCAGAAAATAACCTGACATGTGTATTATAGTAGACCTAAATAACCTATCGTAATAATTATTGTCCTATTTGTTCCATGCTCTCTGCTTCTACTTTATTTTCTCCAGTTATAGATGGTTATAAGAAATTCATTATGGCGTAGGAAATGACCTTAAATCCACCATTCATATATCAATAGGATGTCCATTTAAGAAGAATTAAAAGTTCCTGACCGATACACTTCATTGTTGTAATACATGTCAGAAATTTACTACCTAAACAATTTTCGAACTAGTAAACTTAAAATATGTTTGCTCTCTACATTTAATTTTACTATTTATATGAAGTTTATCATGTCTGTAAACTGGCATGAATCTTGTATTTATTATTTTTAGAATATATATTATTATTAAGTGACAAACATAATTAGGCATTAAAACTGGTGAAAAAAGTATGTTACAGTTCGTAAGCCATCCTAAATTCTGTCAAACGATGAATAAAGTAAATGTTCTTGTTAAAACAATATCATTTATATAATAAAGGAATTTTTATTGGATAAATAATACACTAGAGGATTCAGGAAGCTACATTAGTAGGGTTTTCCATATTACTTTATAAACTTATAATTTGTCTCTAACGTACTTTACTTACGCCTGTTACTCCACATGGAGGAGCATAGGCCACCCAACAGCACTCTCCACCCATCCCCGTCCTGGTCAATCCTTTCCATGTCTGTTTTCAATTCCCGACGTTGGGTGATTTTGGCCCTCCTCTTTTCCGTTTCCCTTCGGGAATCCAAGTTAGGACTTGCCTCATATTGCAGTTTGGTGATTTCCTTAATTTATGTACTATCCATTTCCATCGTCTTTTCCTGATTTCCTCCCTCAACAGGAAGCTGATTTGTTCTCTTCTACAGTAGGCTGTTACTGATGGTATCCAGCCAACGGACATTGAGTATCTTGCATAGACAACTTTTTATAAATACTTTTACTTTCATGGTGATGGTTGTCGTAGTTCTCTAAGTTTCAGCTCCGTACCTTAGAACTGTCTTGATGTTCGTGATAAAGATTCAGACTTTGATGTTGGCTGACAGTTCTTTTGAGTTTCATATGTTCTTCAAATGTAGGAATGCTACTATTGCTTTGCCAATTCAATTTGTCTCTAATACTTAGTGAAATTAAACTATTAGGTAGGGGAAATTCGTTCTTACAAGAATATCATTATGATTGTCTGATTAATGGTTGCTTTTGTTTTTCATATTTTTACTAAATACCTTTTTTTTAAAAAATCAAATCATATAAAACAAGTGTAAATTATTGCGTTAAACAATTTTGTATTCAAATTGATTTATTATGTACATACCGAAATATTGAAGATGACTGAGTTCACTTCAATCCTTTAATAGTTTACGAAACAAGATATACTGTAAATAAATAAGAATTATGATTTTGTTTTAAATGAATAGAAACTGTTTCATACTCTTAATTCTACTTTATATCACCTTACGTGCCCCCCCAAAAAAAATTAGACGAATAAAATAGTATATTAAACCTTACTAATTAAATCAACAAAGCTAACAAAAGAATAATTACATAAATACAGTAGTTAATGATTATAGTTTGTGTCATAGTTGTTATAAATCGATCAAAAAATGATACTAGATTGTTTGACACAAACACAGAGCACTTTTTTTGTAAAGACAACTTGATTATGTAGACCTACCTTTCTAGTTAGAACAATATCTATTGGACATGATAATTCAGCCATAGAACCATTTTTAACTGAAATATTCATATTTGTTTTATATACATTTCGTGTAACTTCAATTAATGACACTATATAGAATGAAAAATGAAATAATGAGAAACGCTTATGATAATTTAATGTTTTAGAATATATATATTCAGCGGTTTTATAGATCATGAAAATAATCTAAAACAGTATTGTTAATTTGTTGAAACAAGTTCAATGTATCAAAATAAAATGATGTACAAACAACACGAACTTGTAAAAGAGGATCTTCTTCACTAGCTTAAAAAGATCTACGTCGAGTTATAAATCGATAACGTGAAAATTCTTAATTGCTAAATTAATACAGTAAGAAATGTAGGGGAATGGATTTTACTCGTATATTTTTCAATGGTAAAAGAAATTACGTAGTGTAAATCATAAGCTTTATTTATTATACTTTTTAAATAACTCTGGATGTTGAAATAAAACATAATTCTAAACAAAAATATAGTATACAAGTAAAGTGTTATCCAAGTAACTCACCTGTGGATCTTGGTTACATAGCAAAATTTTTAAGGGTCTAGTGTTAATAGTGAACTTAACTGAAATAAACAACTATATCATGTGCATATTGAGACTAAAGTGAAAAGTAATTTAAGGTAAGGAATCGACAAACTAATTTTTATGTGTACAATTAATGTTTAAATATTCATGGGCAGTATAAAAATACAAAAACGCAAGTCTTTCAAAGTAAACTAATTGAGTGAGTAGGGGTAGTGATCAATAGATCATTGTCTATTAAGACAAGAAGTAGAAGAGGATAGAGAGTAAACGTACCTGTTTAAAACAAACCGCTTCTGAGTTGTGTCATATGTTGTCCCCAGCCGTTGTTTATAATAGTCGCCCAGACCCAAAACAGACATGTTCCAGCTATCGATACATGTAACTACATTTAATAAAGATGAGTCACTACTTTGTCAGCCGATCTGTTAAATTTACCTTTAGCCATGTGCCTTAACATCGATCATGTAGTGGTTCCAATAAATACAATTAATGTTTGCACTTAGACGGAGGGAAATACCTTCTAAACGTAGTTGCATTGTTGTTGTCTACTTGAATATTCCCATTGATGTTTAGCACTGCAATTAATCAGTCTCTTATTGGCATATATGTATACTGTGCGTATTGCCTCGATATTGCCTTAATTCACAAGCTTAATAAGCAAAGATGGATAGTGGCTAGCATTGGAATTCAGGACGCATGTTTTCTTCTATCTGGGACTCGTCAGCTGGATGTACCTGCATCCCGAAGTTGATGTTCACTCTGCGACTCGAACCCAGTACTGTTCGCTTCAAACGCTATTGCGTTATCCATTTAGCTACTGAGTCCTGTTAGGCACTTGCTTGTGCAATGGGGTGAAGTTGAAATTCACTTGGTATTGTTTTACTTGAATCTTCCCATTGATGTTTAGGACTGAAATTGCATTGTTATTAAAGATAATTACATAGTTTCATTATGCCGATATCTTCACTAAATAAAACTATGAGATTTTGGTATTCATAGTTGACAAGTGAACCTACTAGTAGGAGATTAATCGCCGAAAATCTAGATGAATAAAATGTTATTTCTAGAAAAACATCTACAACAGAAATGAACATATAGAAGTTGTCTACTATCCTTCTTTGAGTGCTACGAGATTGATAATTTTGGTGGTGGTTACACATAGACTTTGATTTAACTAATAATCTTCCGGTAGAGAACCTTCACAAGAACTCTGAAAGCTCTCTACTTACTTATAGATTTATATATGTTGTTATTAATAATTAAAATAAAGAACCTTTTATTTATACAAGTGCATCTTAATATTTCTTAGGATTTCAACTAAGCTTTTAATGTTCATTTTGAACCAACAGACAATTAGAGATTAATTGATGTTGTTGCTTAAATGTTATCTATTTTTGTCAGATCAAATTTGTAGCGACTGGATATGTGAGCCAACAAATAGTATTTAATCATTGATCGTCAACTCACTGAAGGGAAAATCCGTGCTTTTTATTAACTAACCCATACTATTTCAAAGAGTGACTGGGGATATTTGCAACATAGTCAATTTTATTTATGACTAGTGACATCGTAAAGTGAATTAAAAACAGTAGAAGAATTTGGAAGCGACAGGATCAAGGCTGGAAAATAAAAACGTATACTCACCAGAAAATTTATAAGTATTTAAATTAATCTACGGAGTACTTGACAGTAGTTTCAAAATATACATCTTATTACAAATAGTTGACTAAAATTTATAGTACGCCTACAAACTTAAACTTCTTGACTAAATAACCTGAAATAAGTGTATCTAATTAAACCAGGTTGTGGTATTTACTATGATATCTGGATTCTGGCAGTCAGTGATGCTACTTCATTGTTAAAATGAGTAATTATCTATTTTGACTAAATTATAGCATCTGTCTATTTTGTTCCTAAGCATGTTTATCAAACACTATCCTAAATATTATGGGTTGAGACTTTATATACTAATAAATGCTTATTTTTCCGCGCAAAGATTTCTGGCCTAATATGTCAGAAAAGTGGCCGACTAAAAGCAAGTAGTATTACAATAAATATATCACTATTATTAATTCATTCCTAATTAATAATGTTCTGTGATTCTTGTTTCTAAGCTTCGTTGAAGTATTTTCATAGAACCTTAATATAATTTACAACAGTCAATTCAAGTGACTACCCATCAGATTAACATCATTCTATTTTACGGTTTATCGTCAGCTTAAGAAAACCTAAAATTATAATTATTAATATAATTACTGACAAATGTTTAACATAGTACAATTTGGTAAGTTTGAGTACATATTCGAAACATAATCAAAACTATAATGAGAAAAATAGCACACAAAGTGTATGTATATCACCGAAAGTTACTAAATGAGAAAATATCTAAACAATCTTAGGTCATTGAAAAAACCGAACTGAAATCATGAGTGAAAATGAAATTTTAGTCTTTCATCTACAGATTATTCTGACGAATTGTTATATTAAAAAATAATTGGAATCTGATTCAAGTCATATGATTTGTTTCGGACTTGATGGACTGAATAGATAAGTATCTTCAATTATTTTTATACTTGTTTTGAAATGTGAGTAAAAATTAACACCCGTAACTGAATGTAATAAAAAATAATATTAATTTGTATTTGACAAGATCATCTTGAACAATGTGAAAAATTGATGTTTGTTTTAAATGCTGAAAAATCTTTAGGCTTAGATAAGATTTGTCACCAAATATGCTTGTTTCTTGATCTCATTAGATACAGGTATTTGGAAATTTTATATTCATCTTTATTCTTGTGCACTCATATCTATACTTCAGGAATTTGATTAGCACATTCATGGAAACTAGTACATCACTGCATTCCAATTATTTGAACTTTACAGCATATAAATTACACTAAAACAAATACCGTTGTCTTAATATATCTATCAAGCTTATCATTAATTTAAAATTTAGATTTATCATTCTCGACCTATAATACATCGTTACACAAGTTTACATTCGAGAAATAATGTTTAACCTAGTAATGGGGAAATGATTTTTCTTTAATAAAAAAGGAATTCAATTTGAAACTACTTAGTCTTAAAATAAGTTTTAACTACAATCCAACTAGTATATTCACAACTATATGCGTTGACAACTAGTTATGAAATTCATTATGAACGTATTCCTACATATTAATTAGAATAATACTTATTTAACGACAGATTATCTAGATGCATATAAACTATCATGAATATAACTAAAAATATGAAAAAATATTTTATTCTACTTACCATATAATAAAAGAATTTCCACAGTAATATATTGAACAATTTTGAATATTCCGATTACATTCATTATTCATTAATAGTTAAATTGGGGAAAATAATAAATCAATTATGTAATATCATAGTACTTTTATGTATATATACTTTAGTTATTTTTTTTATTGTTTTCAATGTATTAGCTAAATTGGATGAACTGTGTTTATTTTTATTTTTTAAATTTTATATCATTCCTTGTTTAAATTATTTTGTAAACAATATAAAAATAACCACAATATTATATGATTTTATTATACAATAATTGAATAAATAGAATAATTTTGTTTCAATTATTTATTCTAATTCATATAGTGATTTTTCAAAATAAGTGCGGTTGACTTAAATTTATTTCATTGAAAATAGAATAAATTTATTTTAATATATATGATATTTATGTTATGTATATAAATACTTTTGAATAATTTAAAACTATATCGACCAATCAGATTATTTTAAATATATATATATATAGTCTATCATTAAAGAAAATATGAATTTAAATTTAACGATTATAACATTACTAGTTAGTAGAATGTCGTATGTGTCTAATAATTTTATAAAATGAACAAAAAAACTGGCATATATAGTAGAGAGAATTTAACAATGAGTATACAAAAAACTATTATTTATGTTTAGATTGCTCAAACATTTACAATAAAATTGATTAAATCTAAGATTTTCTTTGAGACGGAACATTACTCTTCTATATATATATATATATATATATATATATATATATATATATATATATATATATATATATATATATATATAAGACTAAAGAAGCATTAAGTATACGAAAATTTTTAGAATCCACAAACTTTTGTTTGCTAGTTTTTTTTCATTTATATATTTCTGTTTTTCATTTTTAGTTGTTCAAATAATATAATTAATGGTGAAGTTGCGTGAATTATGCAAATCCGAAATATTTTTAAATTTTAATTTGATTTCTTTTTGTTCATTTTCTTTTATTTGTAGACCTTCACTTTCCATAGTTTAAAATTTAAAATATTTTTGTCATTTCAGTTAATACTGTTTACTATGGTTTGTAAAACCAAAAATAAAAATTGTCATTTACTTGTAGTTTTGTATTTATTTATATATTTATTTTTTCGAATAACGTTATTTTCATGTGTCTTAGGCTTCTGTCCATAATTTTCTTACTATTGAATTGTACTTTTAATAGTTTGTTGTTTATGAAATCAAAGTTCGCACTAAGTAAAGAATAATTTACAGATTATCGTAATTTCATTATTTAATATACACATCTATTCAGAGTTCGAGATAGTTAAAATATATCTGCCAAAGGTCTATATGTACTTGTCCATATATATATATATATATATATATATATATATATATATATATATATATATATATATATATATATATATAAGCATTTTCACATATTTTAATAAAATTACAACGGTAGACTTTACTTACTTTTATCATATTCAAATGATCATTACAAACGAATATTTCTTTGATCTAGTTGCTTAGAGATTTGATAGACTTTTTTCTGTGTAGATAAAGACAAATGGGTACTATAGTTGTATGTGCTAACCAATATTTTGTCAAAAGCGATAACTATTTGAATAAAGCACCTTTTCCTTATTAATTTAAATAAATGGGAATCAGTTAAATTATCATAAGTGAAGAATAGTACGAAATTGATTTTACTTTTATGTTTAGACTTTTCAAAAGTAAGTAAATTAATTTATTGTAAAATTAATAAAAATCAATAAAAAAACGTTAAGGTTTAATTGTATAGGAGAATTTATTTTCATCTGTTTTTTCATTAAAATGAAGTTATTCATCTATGAATAATGTAGAATCTATCAAGGATAGTAGGTAGCTAGATTTTTACTCCTCACATTAACTTAGCTAAAAGAAATGTTAAATACGAACAATAAATAATTTCAATAGTAGTGGAAAGTTGAACTATTGGAGTTGACTCAAATCAGTTTCATTGTCATATACTGATGTTAACACAATGAAAACGATTATTTTAACCAATCCAGCCTTTCCAACAATAAATATAATCTCAGATATTGTGTGGTTTCTTTCAATCTTAAGTTTCAGCTTCCTGTCGCTGAAATTGGAAGGAAATTCATTTTCTATAAAGATTTAACAATTTTTTTTTCAATACGTCGTTGAATGTGTCTTCTTCGGATTCTTCTAGCCATGAAGGATAGAAATTTCCCAGTGGAACGCAGATTTGAAAGTTTATATATTGACAATTCCAAGTTTAAATTCTATATAATTATGTTTTTAATGACCAACAAGGTTGTAGGTGATGGCCCTGAATCGAACCCACATAAGTTATTCTAGTTCCTGAACAAATCAGTTTATCCATTCTTCTCAAGCCACAGTTTTACCACTTATTAACCTTGACTGCTTTTATGTAAGCTTATGTGTGTACATTGCTTTTCTTACTCATCATGTCTGTAACTTATTTCTATTAGACTATAAATATCGATTCACGCTTAGTTAAAACTAGTTGGCTTACATGACGTCTCAATCGCGTGTTATTTCGCTTCGCTCCCTACTCTTCTGTTTTACGACCTTTTATCTGGATCGATGACTGTATGAAATACACTAAATTGAAATTCATTCCCGTATTTGACTTATTTAACTTTGTTATTCACTAACGCTAGTTAAGTCGATGATGAAACACAAGGATAGCCAGAATTTATATTTTGACAACAGTTGTTCGATAACAATCAGAAGCGATCTCCCTAGAGCCAGATCTCGCGCCACTAAATGGTGTAATTTTTAGCAATTCATTGAGGAACTGAAATTCTCCATTTATTTCTGACTCTATTGTGAATGCAATCAACTGGTGGTACATACTGAACACTCTCAGTATTTTATTAAGATCACTATTTTTACCACAGATAATGAAATTATCATTCTGATGTCTTCTATGCAAATAAAAATCATCCATTTTTGATCGGATAGTAAAATTGTGTAGATTGGTCATGAAACAATTTACTGATAGACTTCTAATTGGAGGTATCACCTCAACAATATCGGTTAATTTACAGAATTTAAGTTGAATTTTGAAAGTGAAATATAGATGTAGTTCCTTTAGGTAGTGTTCTGGAATACCGATGATGGTGTTACTACTTTCATTATATTCGCATAGGTAGCAAATTGCCTCTGGGAGAAATACATTTTAGAGAGAAAAGCAGCATCCAAACGTATAATTATCTTTCCATATGCATTGATTATGGCTTTCGAATAGGAAAAAGCAGGCGCTATGTTTGATCATCTTATTTTTGATCAAATGAAGAAATTCTTCCAACCATTTGTCAGTTGCTTTGTATGAGGAGTAATTTATATTTTAGAGCGAAAGGGAGTAGGTTTCCCACGTACTTTCAAAATTCCATACAGCTGAGATATAGTAGAACCGAACAATCTTGAGTGCTTAAATAATTCACTGTTGATGGTTGATTAATCTTTCGTAAGATTTCCATCGATTTCTTTTCAGTGCTATGCGTTGTATCTTGTTTAGTAATTCCTTCAGAGATAATCCATATATCTTTTATTATCAAGAATAATTTATCGATCTAATCATCTCGATCCATGGGAATGATCTGAACACTGTTTATTAAGGTGAAGCAATACTAAATCCCTACTTCCTGGAAGATTATTTAATTGAGGTCAAGACTCTTTTAAAAGAATTCGTGTCATAAGATATTTTGTGTTATTTATTAATGAAAGCAACTGACAACGACCAGTTTTAATCGACCAGAGTCTTTGTTAGAGATTGCGGTTATATTGTATGTTCGCTTCATAAGGCCTTCGGATTGCAGCAACATGTGCACTACCGTAAATTTTTGAACCAAACGACGACGTTGGAATGGTTAAAGACGTATTCATTGGGTGTTTCGGGGAAGAAGGTGTTTCGTTCTGTTTGCTTTACGATCTTCACGAGCTTCAAAGAGATATCATAATACCATCTCTTCGCAACGGTATGATACATTGTTTACGTTTGCCACGCTCATCCTCGAATAGGTATTACGATATTTGTGCTCCAAATAAGACGCTGAGTTCAAATTCCGATATTTGTAACTTCGCTTCATTATGAAATATTTAAGCAAATGATGGTATAGGTAGATATTATGACAAGTGGTTTCCTTGAAAGTCCTGGAGTATACACATTTCTTTTATTTAGCTTTTCGGAAAGTTATTTTCGAATCTCCTATCCAAAAACTGACAGAACATTAAAAAAATATATTGAGGTTCTTTACTATTACGCAATTATCGTTAGTTTTTATACACGAAAAGAAGCCTATTAGGTCATTAAGAAAGTTAGCAACAGTTCATCTAAGAAAACTCTCTATCTTGTTGAACTAAAAAGTGTATTTTTCTACAGATGGCTGATCGAAGGATATGTAAAGGATAAATAGGCAATTTATCACACCCGAATGTTAATCTTCTAGTTTACCTGCTATTGTATAGCGTGTTTTACTGATACGATAAAACATGCTTTTTCCAAATACATATCCAAATAATTCCCAGCATGGTTACATAGTAATGAGTGCATATTGGTAGATAGTTCTGTTGTTGAATTTCTAATCAACACATGTTTTGTTGAGTATGATGGATCGAAGTATGGTATTAATATGTCGTGATGTTGATTGATATAGTGTTTATTGTATATTTAATAATCCATTTAACAGCCATGGTATCGTGATTTAACTTTTAATCAATCATTACACATGATGAAATAGAACTTTCCTACCTGAAAATTCAGTGATATTTCAGAGTCAATTGGATAATTTCAAATTAAATCCACTACAAACATCTTAGGATATTTTTCTACTATTTACGTAATGATTCAGTAAAATAAAAATCCAAAACACCTTTATATCTCGAGAGAATAAAGTTAACTAGGTCATCTATACATTAGATTTCATTAAAATATACAGTATACTAACTTTAATGTAGAACTTTATTTAAAAAAAGAAAAGAATATTTCAGGTCATTTTACTTACTAGAATTCAAAATAACATAATCAACTAAACC